GGGTACGGCACAGAGATGCCTCTGCGTCCCTTCCTACTGTCTGCAGGCTGGGCGGCAGGGGACTTCATAGGATGCTACTTGGCCTCAGAGAGCTGGCTTCCCAAGGCAGGAGAGCTGGCTCAGGCTGACCTGCGGGCTCCSGCGGGATGGTCCCTTTGAAAGCATTCTGATCTGAATCCGCCCCTGGAGTAGAGACTCCCTCGCTTACTTCTGTTAACTGCAGTTCAGGGACCAGGTCACCCAGGATCGTGGGGACAGGGTGCCTCATGAGTCTAGGCAGGGAAGGGAGCTGGGGTGGCCCTGGGCAGGTGGGTCAGCCTCAGTGTGGATTCACGGCTCAGAGCCCTGGGGTGTGAGACTACTCTGAGCAGCTGGCCACGAGGAGGGCTCTGAGAAGACCCACCTTCAGCGTGACGGTGAACACCATGACCGTGAATACCAGTGTCCCGAAGGTCCAGTTCCCGAACATCTGTGGAGAAGAGCCGAGTGACTGCCTGCGCACGCAGCCCCTCGCTCCCAAGGCCACGGCAAACATGACGCCTAGCCACACAGACTGGAGGMTGCGCGGGGCGGGGCTGCTGCCTGCCTGGGCCTGGCCCTGCCCAGCGCTGCCCAGTGAAGGTGAAGCCCCCACAGCTGGGTCAAACGGGCACCTCCTGGCCTCTGCTTTCTGCAGAGACAAGTGACCCAAGTGCCCAGATGTGCTTCTGCACGTCTGAGAACAAGCCCAGGACGTGAGAGGCTGCTGGACAGACACTGCTGCTGGGGACAACACTGAGAAACAGCCAGGAGTGCCGGACACATGGGTGACAGGGAGCACACTGCCCAGCACCTCAGGAAAGGGGACAAGCAGACACACGGGACAGAGCTGGACAAGGGCCGCCCTTCCAGTGGCCAGATGCTACAGATGCCAGCCACCGAGCGCAGGAGGAGGGAGCACCAAGTGGGTTCACAGCTGCCCTCCTCTAGCAGYGGCCTTGGAGGACAGCGGGAAGTACAGACATGTCCAGCCACAGACAACACACCTCCCGCAGAGACAAGGCACGCAGAGTAAGAGATGCCCCTCCCAGGGAGAGGTCAGTCACAGGGAAGCCTCGCCTCCAACAGTGGCCACCATGAAGGTCCTGTCCTCCGCGAGTGGCCCACGCCCAGCCTGTGGGGTGCCAGAGCCGTGCTTCTCAKAGAATGCCCCTGGCCCCCCTCAGGCGAAATCAGAGCTCTGTGTCACAAAGCACCAGAAGGCTGAAGGCTGAAGGCAGTGGCCTTCTCAGGGCAGTTTTCAACCTGAGATGCCCAGCCAGGGCCACACCCAGCAGCGACTTCTGTGAGGTGCAGGCCACGAGTTCTGGTCCACACAGTGAGCAGGGAAGGCACCGGGACTCCGGGGCCCACGGGCTGGGACTTGGGAGCGTCGGCGCTCAGTGCCGGGGCCCCAGAGGCACAGCTGCTCGCCGCACCCTGGGCTCGTGTCCTGGTCAAGTCAGCCTCTCTCCTTGGATGGGACAACACAGGCACGCAAAAGCTCAGATCTGCACCCGCAGAGCTCCTTGGCCAGGGCACCACGCCCGCAGGGCATGCCTAGCTGTGCCTGGGATGTCTCTGGCACCTGCATCTACTGGGTGCCCTGAGTGGGGACGGTGCACAGGGAGACCCTGTGTGGTCCAGAGGCTTCCTGCCTGGGTGCACGGCCTCTTTTGGGGCTGGCCTGCACCTGGGGAGGTCTCAGCCCGAGACCAGCTGCGGCCTGGCACCACCTCCCAAGGCACCTGGSCGAGGGTCGGAGCAGTGGCGCTCGMTGAGCGACTGCTGGGGCCCTGGGGAGCYGTAGGGAGAGAGGGGCTCCCTGCCCTCCCACTCCCACTCGTCGGAACCGCAGATGTCTACAAAACCAGACGACAGCACATCATGCCACGTCCCGCAGAGCCTCAGCAGCCGCACACCCGGAGGACATGCTGGGCCGGGGACGGAGGCGGCTCTCCACCTCACTGCCATGCCTCCTCAAGGGGCTGGCTGATGGCAGTCCCAGGGAGACGCGTTAGGCCTCTGGCTGGGGTCCACTAAAACGTGTGAGCCACYGTCCATTTTCACAGGCGGACGGCAAGGCTCAGCTATCTCGAGACCTGAGCTGCGAATTTCAGCCAGGAACTGGGGAAGTKCTGAGCACCAACCCTCTGTGCCCACAGCCCTTGGCCAGGCCACTGGGTGGCGGGCACGGAGCTCCTCTGCCTAGGGCTCCTGATCTCATCTGCATTCAACAGGAGCCATCTGGTAGCTACCAACGGTCCTGGTTAGGTTGAGAGTCTGGGGATCTTGGGTGGGAGGTGGACGGGCCCCCAGGACACAGCTGCCTTTGTTGGCAGGCTGTCAGAGGGACGATCCGACCCCCAGCGACACTCCTCTTCTGACTGCTCAGGACCYGTCCTAACGTGAGGACGCACCCCTCAGCCATGGCCAGCACCTCTGCGGCACACCCCTGCCTTCCTGCACCAGCATCCCAGGGACGGAGCCTCTGGCAGCCACGGTCTCCCTGCCCCTCCCCAGCCAGGTTCCCATGTTCACGGGGCGTCCACTCAGTCCTCCTTGCCTGTCCGACACCTCTGAGGATGAGCATTCTCACAGGACGCTCTGCTTCACACCTTCCAGCAGGCCAACGTGCCTGTGTGGGGGACGCTCCCCCAAGGTACGCCTCTGCTTGGAGTGGTGTGGCTGCACCTCCCCCGCCCCGACTGCGGGCATCTCAGCCACCCTCCTGGTCTTCCCGAATTCTACCACGGCCTGCTCTGAACTCCAGTGTTCACCCAGGACCTGCCACGCGCAGGGACGATGGCAGTGCCTTGGGGTTTGCGCTGTGAAGTCCAGGTGAGGGCCCGACCATCAAGACAGACTTCTAGACGACTTGTAAGATGCACCTGGGCCACGGGGAATGCCATCAGAGCGCGTCTCACCGCCAAGCTGCAACCCCAGAACAGAGAGGGTCGCTGCTGGGAGACGCGGAGCTCCTGGCCTCTGCAGACCCTGCCTGGCACTGCTCCTCTCTGGTGGTGAGTGGGCTCTGGACGCCCGGGACACGCGCACACGCTGGATGCAGGCCGACAGGGCTCCCTGAAGGCSACTGGGGCAGGCCCGTCACACATGGGGTGGCCTGGGTCATCCTGACCCTGAACTCCTGGGCAGCCCGAGTCTCCTCTGTGGTGGCTGGTGACTGTGGTCTTGGATGGCCATGCGGTCTCAGCCGTGGGGGCCTTAGGGGCCTGGAGCAAGCCTGCTGGGGAGTCCAGCACAGAACGTCCCAGAACTGGGTGGGCACCCATCGCCGCCAGGCACCTCCCAGTTCTTAGGTGAGGAGACTGCATCCTGCACCTGCTGTGACAGCCGGTGACATGCAGCTGGGGCCACCCATGTCCCCTGAGGCTGTGTGGCTGCACATGACGCCCTGGGCTGCCTCCACCTTGGACTCTTTCCGACCCCATTTCAAGTTCCAGTGATGTGACAAGGGGCAGGGAGTACAAGGTGGGGACGTGCTGCTGAAACACYTCTCTCAGGAGACAAGGGATGCAGGACGTGGGGTCCCCCAGAGGTAACAGTGGCGCCCCGGCCAGTGGCAGCACAGCCTGGCTGGAGAGGACGAGGGGCCCTGAGGAGTGCCGGCCGGAAGGCCTGAGCAGCAGCTGGCCTGCCTTTCCAGGGAGAGCAGCTGTGTCCTCCCCTGACCAGAGGGACGCATGCAGGGCCTGCCCGCACCACCCCTGACCTCTTCATGGTGCCGAGTCCTCCACTGGTCTCCCCGACCTCTGCTCTGGGAACGTCCAAGAGAACAAGGTGCTGTCAGTACGACGCAGAGGCCAGCTGGGAAGTGGAGCCAGTGATGACTGCCAGGCCACCCACAGGCCACTACCTCCCGAGACTGAGGTCCAGGACAGGAGCCTGTGTGTCCAGGACACAACAAGAGGCCTGAGCCAGGGAAAAGGCCCGGGAGAGGGAAGAAGTAGAGAGCTCTGGCAGCCACAGTGATGGTGGGGCTGTGCAGGAACCACACAGCCTGGCAAACCAGGGCAAGGAGTAGCCGCAGGGACCTGGGCCCCGGAGCAGCAGCACAGCCTCCGCAGGCTCCAGGACTGAACTCACAGAAGAAGACCTAGGCCACGGGAAAGGGCAGCACCTCTCGGCACTGAGAAAACCAACGAGTGAACAAATCCTCAGGACACACGGCAGGGCCTCTGTGTCCCCACCCACAGGCTGCGGGGCAGACACGGGCGACCACCAGGGGAAGACGGTGCCAGGGACGGGAATGAAAAGCCTTCCGTTGGGAAGCTGCCCTCCATCGCACCTAGGAATGCCAGCCCCATGTTGGGACCCTGGGGGACCACGCTGGGCCCAGGGCTGTGACCCCCAGGGAGGACCACGCTGGGCCCAGGGCTGGCACCCTCAGGGACACTCTGGAGTCTGCCCAACACCCCTCAGCTCCCTGGCCAGCTGAAACCTGCCCTCAGGCCTCGCATCCCTGCTGACTCTGCCCTTCATCACCGTGAAGAGGGTTCCGATCCACAGAGCCTGACACAGACCTGGGGTGGGGGACAGGGAGAGAGAAGGCCGGAACACACAGGTCTCTGGCCAGTAGAGGGCAGGAGAACTGACAGCATTTCTACCCACAAAGCACACAGTAGAGGTCACATGTGAAAATATTTTCGAGAAATATTTTAATTGCAGTGCACTCCAGAAAACACAGAGGAAGGACAAACCCACGGTTCTTACCATGTGTGTGTTGGTGGTCACTATCTGAGGGTGAAGGAGGCGGGTAGCAGAGAGAAAAAAGCAAGATACAAATAAAACAGACCCCAGGAAGCACGCCAATGTCGAGCGCCCGGGACGCACCTTGCTCGCTGCGGGGCACGGCCTGCTCGGGCACGCTACGCCAATGTACCCCACGCCCAGGAGTGCTGCCCGATGCCACAGTGGCACACTGGCCCTGAGCTGGCCATGGAAGGAAGGTCACACAGCACGCCCGGGAACCCCAGAGGCCCTGCCCTGCTGCCAAGTGACCCTGGACGTGGCTGCTGGACGCACAGGCGTCTGCGACCCACCCGCAGGGCCTGGGAGCCCTGCTGAGCTACTATTCTCACAGCGCGATCACAGGGGGTGAGGGCTCATCCTCAGCCACCAGAGTACAGTACTGACCTGTCCACCGCTGGTCACGACTGTGTTTTCAAACATGAAATAAGCACCAAAGAAAAACACCAGCGCATCAAACAGCCCCAGGAAGGTCCAGTAGGTGAACACCCTCCAGCGGAGCAGCGCGTTCTTGGCGATGTCCCTGTGGGAAGGGAAGGGGACAGCGTTACACAAGGCGACCCGTGTGGTTGCACTGCTGCACTGCCGTACATGCCTGACCCCCAAACAGGGTGGACACAGGCCACCTGAGGAAGACGCGAGTGTGGTGAGAGCCTCCGTGCCCTGCGGTTCCCAACGTGCGGGCTTTGGGGAAACCGCCTGAGAGCACGTGGAGTCTCCCTGGGGTACTCCGCAACCACCCGCGAGTCTAAATTGGAGGAAAAATACATGTTTGATTTAAAAAGACAAACGGGGACATCAAATCTGCCAAAGATCCTGAATGGCAGTTCTGAAATAACAGAAAAACACCTTTTCTTTATTAATTACATTTTTTTTTAAGAAGAAAAGATCACACTGAAATCAGATCCACCAACATTTCTGAACAGAACACACTTGGTTCTAAAGGGTGATCCAGGCCATGAACTCATGGTCACAAGAAGACATCCTCATCCCTCGTTCTTCCACAGTCATCAAACAGACTGGCCTGCCGTGCGTCCCCTCTGCGCCATCTCTGACCTGGGGGCGAAGGCCACACTCCTGCTGGAAGGGCTCCTGGCGGCAAGTGCACAGAACATTGACATCCCCAGGTTTGAACACGTCTGCCGGTGCTGACCGGAAGAGCCGAGGCAGTCCCTGGGTGCTCCTGGGCAGGGAAGGGCCACTGGGAAGGGTGGGGACCCACCTGTACAGCGAAGGGTCTCTCTTGAGCACGTCGATGCTCACGTGCTGCTCCATGAGGCTGTACAGCAGAATCGGGAGGGACGTGAAGCTGATGTTGTAGAGGGTCAGGTACGCGGTGTCGTACAGGGTCTGGAGGGAGAGGGCGTCCGCTGACCACCTCACTTCCTGCAGAGACTGCTGGTGTCCTCTTTCATTTAACACAGAGAACCACAGCTGGGCACAGAGCCACCCTTGCAGGCGGAGGGGACAGCATGACTGCAAAGCCTCGCAGGGCCAGGACAAAGCTGCAGCTGGCCCCTCCTGGCTCTGACCCACCCATTCTGTCACTGCAGATTGCCAAGTGGGGACAAAGGGAAGAAGAAGAGGAACAAGGATTTGCAGTTCTGACAGCCACCCTCCAGATTCACCTGCCTGGTCCTGGATGCTTCAGAAAAGCAGCTGGCACACTGTGCACTGGCACACGCAGGCGTCACCTGGGAAGCAGGGCTGAGGAGCCCCCTCATCCTGTCCCTGTCCCCGTCCTAGGCCACCACCCCTGCCCCTGGCACACTGCAGGGCCTCTGGCCCCAAGGATGACCAGACACCCATGAGTACCTCCAGTGTGTGGCTAATCCTTTCAGTGTGGGCCCTACACCCCAAGTTGGGGGCTGGGAGGTAGGTCCTGCATCTCCAACACCTGAGGCCAGCAGACCCGCCCAGAGGCTCCTCAGCACTGTGGCCTGCGCCTGATCCCGGACCCCGCCTGCTGACGGGCCCCGGACAGTGGGAGGGACAGTGGGAGGAACAGTAGTGAGCTTGCTCACTGTCCCTGTGGCCAGGTGGCCTGGATGTGCCAGTCTCTTCTCCCCACTGCAGCCACCCTCCAGGGAAGGGGAGCAAGGCAAGGGCAAGCCCCTGACTTAGAGGACGTGAGGACTGACCTGTTGCGAAAACCCACAGAAGAACTGGTACAGAAACTGGGGGAAAATGAAGCAGACGTTCTGAAAGGCAAGCCGCAGGCCATTAGGTCAGTGGCGGTCTCCAGAGGTTCAGAGCCTGTCCTACGGCTGGGCAGCCGCTGCCCACAGCACCTACTCTGTGTGGGGACCAACCCAGACGTGCTCTGCGTCCTGCAGAGGAGCACGGAATGGGCTTTGGAAATTCTCTTCYCGTTTCAGTGGCCACTAAAACCCTGCTCTGGCTGCGGTGACATAGACAGTGTACAGGGACTCTGTTAGGAAGGGGTCAGCAAAGCCAGGAAATAAGCTACTGCCCAGGGAGCCGGGCTCTTGGAAGAGGTACAAATGGTGCCCCACAGGCACCCCACTGCCAGAGCCCTCAGCTCCACATTGAGATCTGGGGGGGAGGAGGTGCTGGGGAGCCTCCCGTGGTGAGACGCACCCCTTCCTTCCTGCCCAGGGTCAGGCTGTCCTGGTGGCACAYGGGGCCCGAGGGGGAGGTGCAGAGACCGCCTACCTTGTAGAAGAAGTACTGCACCAGCTCAGAGATCCTGATGTAGTAGAAATGCCCGTGGACCAGCAGCATCTTCTTCAAGTGCTTGAACTTGGGTATCSCGTARTCGCTGTTCCGCGCCGCCTGCCGGCCTTCCTTCCCAATGACCCCTATGCCCACGTGGGCCTCCAGGATCATGCTGACGTCATTGGCGCCATCACCGATGGCCAGGGTGATGGGGTGCTCTTTTGAAAATTTGATCAACTTAACAATCTAGAAAAGATAACAAAATTTACTCCTCTGCTTTGTCTGCCAGGGTTATTCCCTAACAGTACACCTAGTGGCACACAAGGGTGGCACACAGAGGCAGAGCTGGGGGTGAGGTGAGTCCAGGAAGGGAGTGCTGCTGGCTTGGAGCTAATTCACCAAAGCCTGCTTCCCTCTATACAGCAGAACGGCATCCCTATTTGGAAACCAGCAGAATAAAGTGAGACGTGGGAGATACGATGGCGACAGGCTGCGAAAGGGCCATCAAGTGAGCTGCATGGCCGGCCACGACTCAAATACCAGGGCAGGTGCCAACTCGGCTCCGTGAGCAGGTCTGCAGAGCCGGGCTGGGTGTCAGGCGGCGAGTCTAAAGAGCGAGCCGGGGTTCCCCGGCTATCTTACTCTTCAAAACTGTCCTGTGCGCAGACCTAACCTGACTTCTAGGGTTCCAAGCTTTCTCTGTGGTCTCCCCCACGTAGGTGCCAAGTGCACTGGTGTAGGGGGTGAGACTGAAAGATGGGAAGCAGGTTTCAAGATGAGAGACTGGCATGCAAATTCAACGTAGAAAGCTTTTCAAAAGCCAATTGAGAAATTAGAAGTGGTACAGAAAACCTTAGCTGCATCCGGGAAGTAACTGAAACAGATTTAGTGGAACATATTAGAGGAGGGAAGGAACGAAGTAAGTTCATAGCAAACAGGATGCACATGATTCCTGAGCCTGGGGCACCTTCTCTGAGAACTGCCCAGGGAGGCCCTGGCTCTATCTTAGTGAGAGGTGAGTGTCACACATGTCACGTGCTGACAACCAGTCCTTGCACTTGGTTCTTAGAGTTTGTGCAAGATTTATTTTACCTTAACCACTGGGCCACAATCTGAGCAGTTGCAGATTTCTTTAATGAACAGTTTAGATACTGGCCTATTGTATCTAAGATGTGCTGCGCGCGATCAAGTTGGGGCTTCAGGTCTACCGAGTTTGGAAAGACACCATGTTCACATGTGGTTCCCATAGTGCACTTAAAAGGTCGGTAGAAGCATTGTGGAAACACTCTGGTGTGTCCCCCATAAGAACTCAAGCGGGTAGGACCAAAGTTTGGAGCTGGACTGGCAAGAGTCCAATTTGCATACTGTGGACACGCAGGCCAGCTGGTAAGGTCAGGACCTACTCATCCCACAGGGTTGAAGGCCAGAGCCCGAATGACTGTGGATGGCACACAGCAGGGACTCAGTAAATGCCAGTCCCCTCCTTTCTTCATTTCCCAGGAGGGACCCAGCACCCTCCTGGCCACTGTACCTGGAAGGGCCACCCTGGACTCCACACTCACTAGTTAGGGAGGGTGACTGAAATCTGCCATTCCTGCCACACTAGGTCTTTTAGGGGTCGGGGCTGAGGGACCTCGGGACAGGGCTGGTATTTCAGCACGCATCTCTGGGCCACGAAGGGGGCGCACCTGGGCTTTCTGCAAGGGCGCCATCCGGCAGCAGAGCACMGCACTGCAGTTCCGGCAGATCTCCAGGAAGAGCTCTCGGTAGTTGCTGGAACTGCCGTCCTCTCTGGGCTTCATGATTAACGACAGCGCCGCGCCATCAATGATTAGACCGTAGTCCTGCATGTCCGCTGAGAGTCTGTTAGGAAGATCACTCAATCGGCTCCCGCTGCAGCGCAGGACGGTTTTGCTCAGCTCGAACAGGACGTCATGCAGACTCTGCTCCTCRATCCGCTTGGTGGTGAGCTCGAGCAGCTGCGTGTTCCTCCGGAAGAGCTTGCAGGCGTAGCAGGTGGCCGCAGCCGTCTCCATCTTGTCCCCGGTGAGCACCCAGACCTTGATGCCCGCCTTCTGCAGCGCCTCGATGGTGTCAGCTGCTTTCTCCTGGAGCCTGTGCGGAGAAACCACAGGTTGGCCCCAGAACACAAAGGCCAGGGAGAGCGCTTCGGGAGCCTGAGGCTACAGAGGGATGAGCTGCAGAATCCAAGCACGAGGCTGCTGCTGGCCACCTCACTGCGGCGTTCATGGCGCTTTGCGACACCAGCAGACAGGCCAGACGGAGCGTCCAAACACAGTCGCCACTGGCCAACCTCCAGTTCTGTCCAGCTGAAACCCACCACGTGGACAGGGCTGCAGGCACTGTGAGGAATCCTCGTGGCCCATGGGGAATGGCCTCTCGCAGGTAAACAGGGCGTGGGGTGTCGCAGGAGTCACTTCGGTTCTTTTGCTATAACCTGCTCTGTCTGACTGCCTTTTGCCAAACTGGAACCCCAAACCCAAGGTACACCACATCCTGAGGTGCTGGCCGTGTCCAGAGGCCAGATGCCCTCTGACGCACGTGGGGGCTTCCCTTCCTGTCGACCATGGCCCATGGGGTCGGGCTGCACCGCCTCCCTCCTGCCAGCTGGCCGAGGCTCACTGCGAGGACACTCTGCCGACACTGTCAGCCTGCGCTAGTCTGTGGGTGCTGGTGGGGTCACAGCCACGAGCGTCCCACCCAGTGCCTGCCGTCCCCTCCAGGTCTGAGAGCCCTGACTGTCGGAGGTGGGACAACACACGCTGCTCCCACACAGTGCGGGTGGGGGACTGGGCTCAGGTGAAGTGCAGCGACGTGCCTGGACTCTGGGAGGAACTTCCTGGACAGGACTGTCCAGGTCACACAATCACAAATCACAGAAATGCAAAAAAAAAAAAAAAAACCAAAAAAAAAAACCTCTAATAATAATTATTTTTGTAATTAGAGTTTTAATAATTGGTGAGATTTAAATTTGGGGGGGCGGGGGGAGGCATGCGTCCCAGAGAGGTTTGCAAGTGTTGGCTGGTGTTTCAAAGAGATCACTTGTAATCAACTGCCATCTCTTCACAGCCACCCATCCCCGGTGCCCAGGGGTCACCTCTCCATCTCCATGTCCCAACGTCAGCCACACTGACCCTCCACCCCCAGGCTCCGTGCACCTGCTCTATGGCTGCCTTGTGGCCACCTGTCTAGCTCAGYATCCCTCCCCTTCCCGGGCACAGGGCCACCGGCGCCCCATGGTCCTGGCTTGCTAAAGCCTGTCTGCCGCAGGGCGGGTCTCCCGCGGAGGCCTGGGTCCCCACTGCACAGTGCACAGGCACGCAGCCAGCCACAGCTCTGTGCTGCACCACACTCCCGTCAGAAGGAGCACRTGAAGTGTTCACAGAAGGCTCCGGAACATGGAGGTCAGCCCGAGGACTTTCTCCTCACCACGGGCAGCAGCCATGAGCAGCAGCTGTGGCCCTGGCTTTGCTCCCCCAGCAGAACCCCTGGCCGTCCTGCTGTGCTTGCAGCCCCAGGAAGGCCTACTCCTCACTGTCCGCTGTGGAGGCTGGAAGACCCTGGAGGCTGGGACACCTGTGATTGGCACTTTCCACCAGTCACGATCACTAGGCCCTGCGACAGCCCGGGCTCTCCTAAGCTTCTTCAAAGGACAATGAGAAACATGTTGAGGGGGAGGGAGGGGAGGGAGGGGAGGGACACATTAGCAAGCTCAGCCGAGGCCCCTGGCTGACCCTGGAGGACCACGGAAACCTGGACCTTGATGACCCCTAATGGGCTCTCTGAGAAGTGTGCTTTAGGCCCCTTGTTTCTGGACAGCAAAGTGGCCTCTGGCCACAGCCCCCCAGGACTTTCACCCACCCTGGCCACCCACTGCGTCGCGGGCCTGGGGTGGGCACGTGTGTGCCTTTACCTGTCYTCCACGGCCGTGGCACCAAGCAGGATGAGGTCCCTCTCGATCTGCTCGTAGGCCTCTGCGAGCTTCTTCTCCCGGTCCTGGAGGGCCACCTTGGCGGCCTGCAGCAGTCTGCAGGCAGCCTCGTACTCCTCGGGGGCCATGCTCTTGTAGGCCACACACAGCGTGCGGAGTCCCTCCTGCGGACCACACGGCCGCRTCAGGAGGGCTGGGGCTGTGCTGAGCACGCAGGGGCCCTCCTGACACCCACGTTCTAGTTAGGACAGGCCAACCAGTGAGGGTCAGTCCTACACAGCTGGACTATTCATGACCACGCAGAGTCCGGGGAATCACAAATTCCCATCTAGGAAGCCTGGAACACCAGCTGCTGGAAGCCGTGTGTGAACTACGGTTGTCTGAGCGCCGTAAGGCGGGGAGGCTGCTTCCTGGGAACTCCTGGGTGGAATTCCCTGGTCCGAAAAAGTCCAGGTCAGCTGTGCCCTGCCTCAGCTCACATCCCTGGGTTCCAACATGGGTGTGACTGCCAAGCCCCAAACAACCCGTCTTCCCCACTCATCGTGTAAAAGCTCCTCACTGGCTCCTTCTGGTGGGTTCCACTTTAAACAAAGCATTTGCGGGCCTCTTCCTCGTCAGGATCAGACCAAGGGCTCATCCACCTGTCAGTGCCCACTTTGAATATAGACACATTTCTCACCTTTTGTGTGTATTTCTTTTCCTTAATATCTTTTTAGTTGTTGATAGACGCTTATTTTTCTATATGTGGTGCTGAGAATTGAACCAGTGCCTCACCCATGCCAGACAAGCRCCACTGCTAGCCCCCGCCCCTGTGTTGATTTCTTAATATTACTTCCCAGCCTTTATTTCCAGCTGGCCCACACCTACCCCGCCCCACGCAGGTCGTGAGCAGGAATACCAGGGTTATCACCCCAAGAGAGACTTCACTCCTATTCTCTGATGAATGCATTGCTTAAGTTAAACCTCTCTAGGATAACAATTTGCAATTCTGTGGAAAACACCAAGTGGTATTTCTGAAGCAGACTCATCTCACTTGGGTGCTCGTCAAGGGGAAGGAGAAGGCCTTGGAGACTGCCCACCAGCCTTGACTCCTGCATAAGCATTTCGCCTTCCAGCAGACACCTGGTCTTTGTGGTCTAGAACGGACTTCCCAGTATGTGTGGAAGCTTCCAGCAACTCTGGGGCACTCGGTCTCCTCGTGCCTCTGACCTCCGGGTCTAGCTCAAGGGCACCTCACTGGACTGACAGCACTCATCTCCCTGAGCACTTGAGAGCGAGGGGCGCAAGARGCCTCCCATAGACCTGAGAGCAAAGGGACCTGGGTGTGTGAAGCTGTGCTCTCCAGGAACCTTCCAGAACTCTGTTCCTGTGCACCCTCCAGACATGGTCTCCTGCTCCAAGGGGTCGAGCAAGAAGCCAGWGCTGTCCTAACCCCGGCTTCCACAGCCACATGCTGCCTGGTGCCCCAGCCATGTGCGCCTGTGCCCCTCCCCTGGCTGTGGCTGCTGGACCAGGTCCTACTTCACCAAGAACTCGGTGGGTCTGCGAGTAGAGGAGTGGAGGGCCYGAGGAGCACACGGATGAAGGCTTCGTTCACAAGTGGGAAACGCCGGGACAAGAGAACAGCTTTAAAGGAGAACCATCCCGAGTTGCCCACAGYGCAGAGCCGCATGAGGGCACACAGACACCTTCATGAACACAGAGGTCCTTGCTTCTCCAAGCAGACGGGACTTCCTCACGTGGCTGCAGGGAGCAGAAGTGAAGCCTCTCTGTTCTCCCTGCCAAGGGCCAGTGAAACCCGCATAGCGCACACACAGGCACACGGACGGGGTAACACGGGCCAGGCCAACACCACCAAAAAACGACAGAACCAGATCCCCTGGCAACATGGACACCRACGTCCTCACCAGCAAGCCGGATGGGACAGGCAGGGCCAGGGGCTCCCCCAGGAGACTGAGGGGCTCAGCACTGGAAATCCACTCCCCGCAGTACAAGGCCTGGCAGAAGCAGTAGAGCCAGGCCAGCATTCGAGGGACGCAGACAGGCGGCTGACCAGAGCCCTGTGCCTTTCCCAGCAGGATCGGCAGGTGCCTACTCAGCACGGCAGAAGCCATGGAGAAAACCCACAGCAGACGTCACATGGAGGCCAAGACAGCACTTCCCCAAGTCAGGAACAGAGGGGCCTGCCTGGCCACTTCTCCTCGTGGCATAAGAAGTTCCCATCAGAGCAACAGGGCATTAACAGGGGGATGCCCATGAGGAAGGGTGCCTAAGGGCCCTCTGTCTGCAGATGACGTGGCCCCACAAAGACAGACCCAAGCCGGCAGAGACACCACTCCCCAGACAACCCAAGGGGAGACCAAGGCAACCCCCGGAGTCACATCAGGAAGCAGAACCCTCGGCTCTGTGCTCAGCCAGAGGTGGAGGGCTGAACGAAATCACTCAAGACCCAACTCAAGGGGACACCTGTGTTCACAGACCGCGTCCCAGCACTGCTGGTGACAGTGCTGCCCAGGGCCACCTCCAGGTCAGTGTGACCCCACAAGGAGCCCTAGGGTGGAAAAGCCCAGCTGAGATTCGTGCGCATCTCAATTGGCCCCTGAAGGACCTTGCAAAGGCCAATCAGCTCTCCTGCTCTGGTCAGCCAGCACGACACCAGGACGCAGGGCCATGACCAGACCTGGAGTGGGGCGGGCAGAACACGAGGCCAGCACACCCGGCTGGCAATTCTGACAAGGCACCAGGACCGTGGTGGGGAAAGAACCAGCTGCCATCAAGGGGCTGGGAGACCAACGCCTTCGAGAGAGCAAGGCTGGCCTGTCACCGTCCCCCCGAAGCCAACCAAAGAGCAGCGAAGCCCCGAGCACAGGAGCTGAGCTGCGAACCCGGAGGGAGAGCAGGCGGCCTCCCGACTCCGGGCTCCACGACGTCTCCTAGACGTGATGCCAAGCGGAGACCACAGAGGAGCTGGATGATGGGATCAAAGACACAAGGGCCCCTGCACCTGCTGGATCATTGTAATTTCCTGTCACTCTGCCATTATTTAAAAATAACATTAGCAACCAGGGGGCTGCAAGGCCCTCACGTGCCCAGCAGAGGAGAGGCCAGGAAGGAGCTGTCAGGAAGGGTGGCACAGCTCGACCCCAGGAGCTCACAGCGGTCACTGGCCCGAGTGCCACACTGAACCCACCACCACATCACAAGACGGCACCAACTGAAGGAAGCAGCACTCTCCTGGGAACTGGCTCCACAAGACTCGAGGTCTGCAGGAACAGCAGCCTCCAGGCCAACCAGGCACACCACTGGCTGAGGAAGGCACAGGCCGTGGCCACGCCCGGGCACACCGCTAGACCTGGGCAGTTGCTGTCTGCAGGAAGGGTGCCCTGGGGACACGGTGTGGCAGACCAGACAGGGCAGAAACTGGGGCGAAACAGCCTGAGGATTTAAGGAAGAGCCTCAGAAAGCTGCAGAGAGACGGGTGGCAGCTGACCACACAGGAACCGCTCAGTGGGAGCAGGAATACCACAAGAATGACCACGGACAGTCACTTGAGCTCCCCGAACTGAGGAAGCTCCGGAGCCCAGGCAGCAGGCCAGCCATGCGCAGACGAAGGGCCACCATGCCGTCTGGCCTCTCCAGCTGCCCAAACCCCACAGTCCACTGCAGCTGACTTCAACAACCCCGGAGTGGAGACTGTCTGAAGCATGGTCCACCCACCCATGCTTTCCAYGGAAACCACGGCAGACCAGCAAACGCACACCCACGTGGACAGCCCTCCAAACAGCTAGTGCCGCAGAAGCCAGAGAGACCCTGGCAGGAGAAGGCAGAGGTGCACACACGCACACAGACATACAGACAGACACGCAGACACACATGTGCACAGGAAGACACATGTGCACCCACGTGGACAACCCTCCAAATAGCTAGTGCCGTGGAAGCCAGGGGGGACCTTGGCAGAAGGCAGAGGTGCACGCACGCACACAGACAGAAAGACACACAGACACACAGAGACACATGCCACACACGCAGACACACAGACACACAGAGACACGTGCACCCACGTGGACAACCCTCAAAACAGCTAGTGCCGTGGAAGCCAGAGCGGACCCTGGCAGGAGAAGTCAGAGGTGCACGCACACAGACACACAGACACACAGACACACACAGAGACACACGAAGACACACACACACATGCACATGCACACAGACACACACACACACAGATATACAGACACACAGACATAGACACATGCGCGCACGCACAGACAGAGACACACACATGCGCACGCGTGCACACACRAAGAGACATGCGCACACAGACACACATGCACACACACGTGCACACACATGCAGATGCACACTCACAAACAATCGCAGGCACACGCAGAAACAGACACACGCACTACACATGCAGGCACACGCAGACTCGTGCGCACACATATACACACGCAGACACACAGACTTTAGTAAGCAGCAGGGTTTTAAGGTTTTGCCCTAATAAGTGCAATGAAGCCCGGTGGGTGCCGGGGGACACCCTTTAGCGACCCTCTGGCAGAACGTGGATGCAGCTGTATGGAGACGTGTCTGTGTGTGTGTGGGGCTTTATAAACTAGGAGCAGAAAGAGGTTTCTGGACCAGGAGTAGAGCTTTCCAGGCCATGGCTGTCCCACCTGCTCCTTCCTCCTGGGGAGAGGGGCTACAAGAATATGGCCTGCCACCTCGAGGAACTGCCACTAGATTCCCAGATCCCAGGCACCAACTGAAGGAAAGGAGCCCTCCCCGGGCAGGGGGCCACCTCGGGCCGCCCGTCCTCACGGGTCTCACCACTGCATTGCGCTCCACCCTGGCTCGGATCTGGTCCACTCTGCCTTCCGTCACCCTGGGAAATATGGAAGAATCCGCTCCTTTGCAAAACAGATAGATTTCTCCTGTAAAATAAGAAAAAATAAGAGAAAACCGCCAAGGTTGAATTTCATCCCGACACGGGGGCCCTGCACTGCTTTCCACCGCTGGAATGCCTCAGCAGGACGCCAGGCCTGAGACCACCTTAAAGATTTTAATGGCCAATTGACAAGCTGAGGTTGGGAAATCAGATCTGTGGATTCCTCCCAAACCTCCTTTTACTCTCACTCTCGGAGGTCCCAGAGCAAAGTCAGGACCAGGAACAGAAGGCAGCTCTTGGGCCTCGGCTGCACCTTCTCTGGTAAAGGCAGAAAGAAAGACCCAAGGCCCTGGGCAGAGTGGGGCATGATGAATGCAGGAGTTGCCCGGCCAGGGCAGGGAGAGCAGCCTGTGGACACTGACCGCTGCAGCGTCATGGAACAGGCCGGCCTCCGCGTCACCGAGCAGGAGAAAGGGCACCAGGGCCGCACACCTCCCACACTGCTGAGACGGGCTCCTTCGTCCTGAGGTGAGCCGGGGCAACGGCAGCAGTGGCCAAGCTGCTGGGACAAGGTGCCAGCCCTGATGCCACCACTCACAGCTGGGRCCCTTCTCTGGGGAGAGTCTCAGCCTGTCGGGTGGGGCAGCAGGTCAAGACCACCATGCTCCATCACCAGGGCTGCAGGGCTATGGGGGTGGGGGATGGGAGACACGCCTGGGCCAGACTGACATTCCAGGAGACTGAACCCGGTCCTCTGTGGGGACAGATCCTTGAGCCCCCTAACACCGAGGGTCCTTCCAAGTATCCAGGACCAAGTCTGGAGGGCACTGGAGGTCAATCGGGGACTGTCTAGCTCAGTGATTCCCAGGGTGGGGTGGGCAGAGGCCCTCCTGGGCTGACAACTGGGATCCAGACCCAGGGTTCAGGGGTGTGTTGGGCGCCAACCTTCCTTGTTCCTGCTCCCAGGACAGACCCCGGGGAGGCACAGAGAGAATGTCTAAGTCACAGATACGACCCACTGGCTGAGGGCTCAGTCCAGATGTTGGCCACAGCCACAAAGCACTGCCACGGAGACGTGGGTTGTGGCTGCCTGGGTGGGCCATGCCTGAGCAGACGCTGGGCAGAAGCAGGTAGGAAAAGGAGCCCYGGGAGCAGCTACCAGGGACACAGGGCACTGGCTCTAGCTGGTGCCTGTAGAACCACACTGCTGGGGCTTCTGGGGCCATGACCCATCCAGATGGTTCCAGAGACCGTCATGGTCACCAGATGGTGGGACTGCTCATGCTTCAGGGCTCCCGGCTCAGCTCCCCGCAGTCCCGATGTGCCCCCAGACACAAGGCCGGGCACGTCGGCCCTGGGACTAGGGTCCGCCTGGCCTAGGAGCAGCCCCAGGGCGTAGCAAGTGCACCCTGGGCGGGTGGGCGCAGACCTGCTGTTGCAGTCCTGTGGACACGTGGCCTGCAGGACTGAGCCTGTGGGACCAGGTCGTCTGGTCCTGTYGACTGTGTGGCTGACAGCCAGCCCTACCACCACCCACTCCAGGACCAACAAGAGTTGGTGGGGAGGATGGTGGCCAAAGCTCCTGGTGGGCACGGCTGGGCACTGTCCCACCCATGCTAGGCGACACTGCAGTAAGCCTGGCGGTGGCTCTCAGGGGACAGGGCACGTTGATAGGCAGCTCTGGGGGCGTGTGACACAGTGCCTCCCTTTGCCTCACTGCAGGGGCTGTGGCGTGGACACCATCAGAAGAGCCCCAGGTCATGCTCACGAGTCTCTGGAACAGGAGCGCCCAGCGTGGCTGAGTGACCCAAACCTCGGTGTCCCTCCTCAATTCGGCCTCATCGGGTCTGCAGGGTGCACAGCATGGGGCACACGTATTTGAGGGGTCTCCCTGAGGTTGTGGGCACCACTTCCACCRGGGGAGAAGGACTCTGCCCACCCACAGGTGGCGAGACCCACACGGTGGCGCCCCCTCTGCGGACACGGCGCTCCTCCTGCCGGTCCACGAGGCTCTTCGGGACGGCATCGCGGCCCAGAGTATGTTCTGCAGAGGCCCCAGGAAGGTGCAGCCTCCTGAGCCCAGGGCTGTCCCAAGCCGACACCTCAGGCCTCGAGCTGGGTCACTGCCGCATCCACAAGAGCCCTGTGCAGCCCGGACGGCACAGTGACGTTGGTGGCTCACAGCGGCCATGAGAGGCTTTCAGGTGGCTCCTCCGTTGGCAAAGCGCCTCTACTAGACGTGGTGGCCCCAGGGCAGGAGCAGGGTCAGGGGGCACAGCTGGGGAGGCTCCCCTGGCGAGACCCAGCTGGGAATGCCCACACGCTGTCCTCCTCCTGGTGGTTCACAGTGGCTGGAGGTCGCGGGATGGTGTTCCGTGGGGGCAGGTGGGGTGGCCTCCTGCCCTCGGCAGGTGTCAGCGTCTCTGCATCAGCTCCCAGAGACGGTCCTGCAACCCACTGCCAGGTGGTAAAGCCTGCTTCTCTGTGTGTCACRGCAATGTCCACAGGGGCTGCCACGTGTCCCATGACTTTGGTGCAAATCCTGCAGGTGGAGCCTGCTCTTCTCCCTCACGGCGTGATTCACCTTGGGGCAGGTGCTGTGGGACTCAGTGGGTTGAGATACACAGCCAGGTCCCCGGCAGCCACAGTGTCCTCCCGAGGCTGCCCACCCAACACAGGGAGCTCCGTTCTTGGACAGCAACTCGGGACACTGCTAAATGTGCTCTAAGCAACCCCCACCATCCTCAGTGGTCTCTGGAGGGGACGTTGCTAAATGTGCTCTCTGTACCCTCTGCTGTCCTTGGCAGTCTCCAAGGGAAAATAAGGATGGCTGCTCTCAGCCAGGACCTCAGGACAGCTCTGCCCAGGAGATCCCCTGCTTGCTTCACACATACAGGAGGTCTCTCAGCACGAGCAGAGGAACCTGGCCAACAAGGAATTCCCCGAGGCTGGACTGGGCAGATCCAGGGCAGCAGCACTGTTTGGTGACTGACCTGGCATTTGCCCAAAGAGGGACCAGCCTGGTGTTGCCCAGTTTAGGAAACAGCACAGGTCCCCAGCTCTCGAGGTGCTGCTCTGAGCTGCGCTGGTGAGTGGACTGGCCCCATCTCCCCAGGGCTCTGCAGGGGGCAGGGGTAGGGAGCGCCCTGCTGAGTGGGGCACACGCTGTCTCTTTCAGGACTGGGCCAGAGGCAGAGGCTCCAATGCAGGGCCATGTCCAGCGTGTCACCATGGGACCACACAGGGAGGAGTGCGACCGAGGAGGCCGGTGTCGCTAGCCAGGCAGTGCTGAGCCGTTCTGGATGTGCGCGCAGGAGGGCAAGCCCACGCTGGGCAGCGCCTGGGCCGGTGGGGCCGGTGGGTGGACACTGAGGCTGGGCTGCTGACGATGGCTAGGATGGTGGTGCAGGGCCTGGACAGGGGTGTGGATGACCCTCTCCAGTCCCCTGCAGCGGGGGCACAGGGTGTGCTGCACTAGGGGCAGGGGCTGGAGCTGGCAGGGCCCAGGTGCCAGGCTGCAGGCTGCTAACAGTGGGACTCCAAGGGAGCCTCCTTGGGGACAGTGAGGAGGGCCTCATGGGCTCTGCCAGATGGAGGAGGGGCCAGTCAAGGCTCAGGAACCTTCCAGAAGCAGGAGGAGCTGAGGTGTCACGAACAGCCCTGGGCTGAGCAGGGACAATGAGCCAAACACCACAAATGCTGAGCGCGCAGAGGTCACCAAGGTCACGTAGTCAGAGGGTCTGACCCCACCACGTCCTCCATCCAGAACCCCGAGGCAGAGCCTGAGCCTGGGGCCCGTGAGACCCTCTGCCCGGCAGAGCACACAGCTCAGTGACGTGTGTGTCACCACCAATGCCTTCCTTCCTCAACAGCGGTGTTCGAGAGCTGAAACACTCGGGCACCCGTGAGCGAGTGCGCCAAGGGTCATGTTCTCCCTGGTCTGTGCGACCCCAGGAGACGCTCGGAGGACGTGCATGGTGTGACTGCACTTGGGCCTCCGCTCAGGGGGGAATTCACCCACACCCAGCAGGACACTGGCCTGGCTCCGGTCCTCAGAGCTGCCCGAGTCCAGCTACTGGAAAAAACAAGGCCGCCCGCACATCTGAGAAACCAAGAGAAGCCTCTACCTGTGGCGGCTCTGACGATGACACTCATTCTCCTTCTCACAGAGTCAAAACTCAGAATCTCCAGCAATTCAAACCTGAAAAAAAAGGAACTCTCACTCTTTTTTGGGTCTGGACATGAGCTGCCGGGCACGGAGGGCCACCCAACTCCACCCCAGGACGGCAGCATCCTCTACTCTCCGCGCCCCCCAAGCCTCACAGGTGCCACCTGAGCTCTGGACACCACCAGACGCCCAGCTCTGGACGCCACCAGACGCCCAGCTCTGCTCTGCACTGTCCTGGTGCTGGAGGGGGATGCTGACCGAGTCCAGCTCTGAGGCCCCTGCCCCAGAGAGGATAACCACCTGTGGGCACTTGGGCTACTGAAACTGTCCGCAACCCCTTGGCTCGGGCCATCAGGAGGCTGGGGAGAGGCTGCACCCTGTGGCTGTGCAGATGCCCTGGGTCCTCAGTGTACTGCAGGGTGGGTCCTGGTCCCTGCAGTGACCTCACTGCCTGCCCAGGGGGAAGCCACGACCAGGCAGAAAGCAGGTGGGGACCTCCTCCCTCAACAATGGCCGTTCAAGAGCAGAGACACACTTGGGCACCCGCAGTTGGGCGCATGCCGAGGGTTCTGGCTTCCCCTCCCACAGGGAGCCCTGGGCCCCGAGRTCTGGGTCTGCAGGGAGGAGCCCACCAGGCCGAGAGGCTCACCCATTCCCAGTTGTCCATGAACTTATTTTATATTTAAAACTAAGACTGCTGGAGGCCATCACCACCAAATCCCATGTTCTTTCTATCCTGTCTTARCCTGTGTCCATTGATGCCATTCCTAAGAAGGAACACCACCGGCCTCCAAGTCAGAACTCAAGGTATGACTAGCTCTTTGATGCCGAGACTRTCCCTGGGCATCAGCTGGCCTTTCTACAGCATAGCTGCGTACTTGGGAGGACTCTGTGCGCCAAGACCAGGGGCTGCTGCCTCAGCAGGGAGGCCGGGGGAGGTTGGAAGGTTCTAGAAACCCTGAGGATTTCTGTAGCTGGCCCCCAGCTGGTGGTCTACCAGGGGTGATGCAAACCTCAGGGCCTAGCTGGAAGAGGAGGTCATTGGAGGGTGCACCCTTGAAGGGGATGTCTTGTTCCCACCCCTCCTCTCGCTCCCTGCTTCCTGGCCACCATGAGGCGGCAGCTTTCGCCACCATGTGGTACCGCCATGATGCACTGCCTTACACATCCCAGAAACAACAGGGCCAGGYGACGTGGACTGAAACCTCTCGGAGCAGGGCCACAGGCGCTCTTGCCCCCTTTCGCTGACTTCCTCGGTGTTCTGTCACAGTGCTGGAGAGGGACTGACACAGAGAAGAAGCCTTCCCTGACAAGCCCTAGTCCACCCCTCCAGGAAGCCATTGGAGAGACGCCCTGTGCCGACAAGGCCCTCTTTCCTCCCACTGTCCTGTCTCACAGGGCTCGGAGGTTCTTGGATTCTTCCGGGAAGCAGGGCACCCATGGGAGGACATTTTTTTGAATGACAAACCCGCAGGCCCCTCCTCGTGGCAGTACCTCACCTCTCGATGTCATCGTTCCTGTTGAGAATCTCCATGTAGTTGTCCTTCAGCCGCAGGTATGTGAAGCCMAGCCTGCGGGCGAGAGGCAGACCGGTGAGCGGGGYGCGGTCCCTCCCCACCGAGCCCGGYGTTCCTGGGGAAGGAGAAACGCTGTGGGGAGCAGGCTGTGAACTGCACTTCAAAGCCAGGTGGGAGAAGGAGTCGGTCGCCACCTCAGCCCGYGCTCCCAGGACGCACAGCCCCCCGCCCCCCGGGTGACCCAGGCTCCTGTGGGTGCCGAGGCTCCCCACCCTGTCCCTGCACACGTCTACTGGATGCTCACAGGCTTGCTCATTGTTGCTCAGAGGGAGTACGACGTCAGGACCCAGAGGACCTCGAAGCTGTCCCCAAGGTTCCTGGGTGGGAGACCCCTCCCCATACTGCAGTGAGGAGGGGGGACGAGGCCAGCAGGCTCCCAGCTCATAGTGACTGGCCTGTGTCAAGCCTGTGTCATGCACCTGTCCCTCTCCCACTCGCCCCCTGTGCTTCACCCTCTGGATGCAGGAGAAAGCCCACCCCCGGAGGCCGGTGCTCAGCCCTGGACTTGAGGCAGATCTGCAAGAGCAGGCGTCTGCCCTGGTCACACGGGGTGCTCTGCACAGCAGTACCACAGCAGGCAGTTGTCCCCAGACAGCCCTCACATTGACTGATAGGACACCAGGCCAGGGTGCTGCTCACGCCATGTGATCCCAGCAATACCCTCTCCCGCGGCTGGAGCACATCACCATTCCAGGCACCTGCCGGAGAGGGAGGAAGAAGGCCTGGCCTTGGGCTTGACAGACGGACACACAGTGCCAGCCGTCATGGTGGGCAGGGGCCAGGAGTGGGGCAGTGGGTCTGCCTACCCCATGGGAGCCTGTGCTGAAGGACGGGACTCCCAGCAGGAGTGCCCTGACCTCGACTGTCTGCCTGGAGTGCGGCTCAGTCCTGAGCGCCTGTTCTCCCAGAAGAGCTAGATCAGCTCTGAGCGGTCCCACCCAGTGAGAGTGGGCTTGGGGACTTCGGAAGCCCACGGTGACGGCATCGCACAGGAGAAAGATGCTGACTTAGAGGCAGCAGGATGCTGCTCCATAAAAAGCGCTGACCCTTCTCCTTGTTGCTCCTTCAGTCTTGGGGTTAACACATGTCATAGGCAGTACAGAGGGGACCCGAGGGTCACCTGACTCCCAAGCCAGGGGAATCCAGAAYGAGTTGCCCAGTTTGAAACTGGGGCGTGAAGGGAACGTTTCCAGCATTGCCGGTGCTGGTGTGAAACGCCGACTCCRACCGGCATCAAGACCACTCCAGTCCCTCTGGTGGGGTACGAGATGCACAGGCAGGGCCCCAGCACCCATGTCACCCACCAAGCCCTGTGGTTTAGGGGAAACTGCCGCTAGGCCTGGGTTCCTGAGTCCAGGAGGAGACCAGCGCTGGAGGGGATGGGGCTGGCTCTGCCCTCAGGAGCCTGACCAGGACTGTCCCTCTGACATACTGCAGATGGGGGAGCCACGTGAATGACGCCATGAAGACTCACATGCAGCTTCTCCACGAGGCCCCCGAGGTACGGGGCCCAGGGGGGCCTGAGGCCATAGGCAGCTGCTGCTCAGCCCAGGAGCTCAAGACTCATGGGGACRGGTGGCGACCAGGACAGGAGGCGAGGGGCCGGGGACTGCCCACAGTGGATCTTGCGCTCAGCTGAGCCCCATCCCGTGGCGACCCAGACCCACCTCTGGATGCCTTCCACCAGCGCCACCTCGTCAGGCGAGGATGATATGTACACGCAGGACTTCCCTGAGTCCGGCGACTTCCTGGGGCCRTCCACCTGGTCMTCATCTTTCACCTGCACAGTGTGGCAGAGACAGAGGGCCCGGAAAAAGAGCTCCTCCCGCTCCTGTGAAAACACGGCCAGGGGAAGTCCATGGCTCACAGCTGCCCAGAACAGGAGGCGCCCAGCAGGACACACCCCCACTCCCATGCTGCCACTCGGAGGGCGGGTGTGAGCGTGAACACATGTGCATCTCCAGGAGTGTGCCTGTCTGTGCACTCCGTGTGCTCACTGCTCTCTGCATACCGCCTGCCCGGCCTGTCCAGGGATTCCAAGGTCCTAGCATGGAATCACCGCTTGTCGTCCCCCAAGGGACACCGGCAGCACAGCAGCATCTGACCAGAACCTCACTGAAGTCCCTCGGGGTCCTGCCTCTCCCAGATGCCCCAGTGAGAGGCACACTTTCCAGAGGGGGAGACCACCTCGCACACATGTGCCTAGCCTGGTGACACGTTCCTCCCTACAGCGGGCCAGAACCTACCCTCCCACTGACGCCCGGGGAAGAGTCAATCATGTCGATGCCAGAGGAGTCAGGCAGGACCTGCCGTTGCAGATGACGTGGGGCACGTAGACCTGACCCTCGATGCAGCACTCCTTGAACGCCATRTTGTTCTCTGTGAGTGTGCCCGTCTTGTCCGTGAAGATGTACTCCACCTGCGGGTGAGGCACACACCCTCAGACGCCACCCAGACCTGTGGCCGTGTCACCCTGGCCCAGGTGACAGTCTGGCAAGATACAAACATGGCATAGCTTGACCCAGATAGATGTAGAGCCGTGGGTGTGTCCGCTGCACCCCTTGGCCATTGGGACAGGTGTGATGTGGTGGGGGGCACAGTGGCAATGGATGGAGAACGGTGACCTTGGAGGACACTGCCTCGTGGAGCCAGAGCATCTGAAAGACCAGGGTGAGGATGGCCCGTGTCTCCTTCAAACAACAAAGGGCACAAAGGAAACCTTCGTCTCTGAAGCCTTGGGGTCAAGACTCACGAGGCCACGCAGGGTCAGAGACAGAAGCCAAACAAGTGAGAGGGCAGACTTCAGAAGGACAGCCCGACAGGCCACAAAGACGCTGCTAGTCACTCCCGATTCAGGTAAAGCAGAGGAGCGCGTTCACGGTGAGCAGCTGGGCAGATGCCGTGTGCACAGCTGGGGAGGGGGGGAGGGTGAGCTGGGCTTGCGGCAGGAAGGAAGCGCAGAGAGGTGGAAAGGACTCAGCCGTGGGCTCCATAAGGACCTTTTCCCCCGGGGGCTTTCAGGAAGAGGCTCTGACAAACCGACAGCAGAAAGTGCCTTTCCGTCGTGAGCTTGTCCTTAACCAGCACTACGTCCTGACCTGCTGAATCAGCCCTGCCGCTGGGACACCAGCCAAAGCCCAGCGGAGCCTCCCCAGGGACACACAGCTGGGGCCAGAGAGCACTGGCTATCCCCAAGACCCCACAGAGGTTTCGGCCTGCGACCCCTCACAGGCAGGTGTTGGGAGGTCAGCAACCTCACAAGGGTCAGACCTCTGAAGGAGCGCCTAGTAGAGGGCTCCATGGACAGCACCCCTGACTTGCCTAAGCCCCCTAAGGTGGGCAGATCTCCGACATGCTTTCCCGCGTGATTTCATGGAATTCAGATGAAAGTACTGCTAAACCCCAAGGCCGCCTTGGCAAGGGTGAAAGTGGCAAGAAAACGATAAGACCTGCCGTCCCCACTCCATGGGTCCCTGCAGAAGGGAGCTGCACTGCAGCTGGCGTCTGACTCCACAGCYTGCAGCATGACCAGAGGGGCCTGTGTTCAGGGGCAGCACCAAGGTGCGGGGTCAGGCTTTGGAGCCTCAGTCTTGCACTGGTGAAATGCAGGCGGCAGTGCTGACCTCTAAGGAAACACACAYGGGCACTGGGAGGGTGGGAGCCGGTTCTGCCTCATTGCTAAACACCCATCTCATCTGCTGTGAAAGTGGCACCCTAACCTGGCCGTCGGGAAGACCTCACTCTCAACCTGCCCCTCAGTTCTGACCTCGGCGCCAGGCTCTGTGCCTCCTGCTGCAGCTGGTTTTGCTCAGAACCAGACAGGACCGCAATCCCCCCAACAGACTCCTGCAGCCTGGGCACGGCTCGACATTCCTCTTCCCACAGAAAAAYCCCTGCCACGGAACTTCTCAGGAACACATGAAACAGGATACGGGGCTCCAGAGGCGAGGACCTCACCCCTGAGCTAAGACCTGGGCAGCACTGAAGTAACAGTGACCCGCCCGGCCCGGGAGCAGCCAGAGGGACATCCAGGGAGACAGCAACCCCGCTCACAGAGGAGCCAGAGGAATGTCCAGTGAGACAGCGACCTGCCCGTCAGGGGAGGAGCCATTGGAACGTCCAATAAGTCAGCGACCTGCTCCCTCATGGGAGGAGCCATAGGAATGTCCAATCAGAGAACGGCCCGCCCCTCACAGGAGGAGCCATAGGAATGTCCAATCAGAGAGCGGCCCGCCCCTCACGGGAGGAGCCATAGGAAGGTCCAATCAGAGAGCGGCCCGCCCCTCACGGGAGGAGCCATAGGAAGGTCCAGTTAGACGTCAGAGCACAGTCCCACCTCTGAGAGCAGTGCCCCTCACAGGAGGCAGGTCTAGGGTCCCAGGCAGAGGCTAACCACCCATCAATAGCCTCTTCTGGGGTCCTGGGGGTGGGAGGGGTCAGGACGCAGTTGCCAGTCTAAAGTGGTGCTTTAAGGCTACTGAATTACACAAGGCAGTGAATTACCTTGGGCCACCTCCAAATTGTGACAGAGCAGAAAGGGCTAGACTGGGGCTGTGGGAAGGCCACTGTGAGGCCAGTGAGGACGCAGGAACCCCCTTCCTGTGGTTCTCCCCTGCAGGGCAGCGCTGCGGATCTGCAGGCCTGGCGTACACAGCTGTGCCCTCACACTGTGGAGACCTTGGCACCTCGGGTGGAGGTAAGGGGGCAGCGGCAGTGACCCCATCTGTGGCCATTCCCAGACCCCACAGAGGACACCTTGTGTCCACTTCTTTGTGTGATCTGCGCCACAAGCTGGCAGGGCCTTCCCCACGGCACAGAGTACAGACCCGATGCTAGGGGTGAGGCATGGGCCATGAGGATGCCCACGTCTACCTGCTCATCTCTAGAGAGGCACCCAGTTCTTCAGCTCACACCATGAAGGCCCAGAATGAGCAAGGTCACGGATGGGCTAACCAGGGCCACTGACACAACTGTCCTTGCACACGCTATGAACATGAAAGCCCTACCAAAGGCCACACAGAGTCCGTGCCAGCTGGCACATCTCTCACGGGTCACAGGAGGGCCGACGTGCATGAATCCCAATAGAGACAGCTCACCTACCACCAGCRGGACCACAGCACAGGCATCTTGCACCTGCACATCTGGACACAAGGGAATAGTACTCACCCTTCAGGAAGACTCGGGCGACACTGACCTGACCCAGCTCCTCATTCAAGTCGGACGTGTTGACCAGAGGCCCCTCTCCTGTTTCCTCATCGAACATGTCCTCGTCCCAGCTGATGAAGTAGGAGCCAAGGAACTTCTGCATCTCCACRGTGACGTACATGGACACGGGGATGATGTAGTTGAAGAGCACCATGAAGGCCAGGAAGTCCGTGAAGGCCCTGAGGAACTGAGCACACAGCTCCTCAGTACCCACGTCCCCCAGGGCCAAGCCTCATGCAGGGTGCAGGCGAGCCAGACTGCCTGCCCAAGTCCCCAGTAAGGGCTGCTGGGCAGCAGGCCACGCCTGGTCGCATCCTCACCCAGGCCAGGGGCAGACTTTGCCTGTGAACACAAGCGTGCCACCAGGGACACRGCGCCACACAGGCTGACGGGACAGAGATACCAGATTGGAACATCCGTGACAAACAACAGAACTCACCAAGAGAAAACCTAGGAGATGCCAGAGACGTGAGCCTGGTAAAAGGACCGATCTGGACGGCTTTATTCCATGCGTGCAGCCAGGTTAGTTTTGGGGAGGGCAGGCTGTTGCACACAGCAAAGACACGGCACGAGGTTTGCACACGGCCCTACTCTGCCCTCTCTGGCCACAGGCCTGGGCGAGCACACAGGGCGAGGTTCGCACACGACCTTGCTCTGGAGTCTGAGCCCCTTTCTCCCTGTGCCTGTCTCAGCAGGTGCCATCTATCCCCAAATCACTGGCAAGCATCTCCTGAGCACCTGCGAGCACAGGGCACTGGGCAGGTCGGCAGCCCTAAGGCCTCTCGGGCATGGTCCTGAACATCTCCCAGGGGGACCAGCGCCCTGGGCGTGTGCTCCTGCCATCTGAGGACGGCTCAGGGTCGATGCCCCGCTATGGCCAGGACCCCCCACCATATGCCGGCAGCAAGCCTGACGGCCACCCTGCCCTGAGGAGGGCGTGCTCCATACCAGGTTCCGCTGCCTCTCCGACTCGGTCTTCTGGTTGTACCAGGGCTCGTCCCGAAAGGGCTCGCTCTGCCACACGTACTTGAGCACAGTGTTGACCAGCGCCTTGCTCACCAGGATGCAGAGGTAGACGATGAGGAACACATTCATCGACCTGCAACGCCACGCAGAGTCATGCGGGCTCCCTGCCGACGGGGGCTGCACCGGCCTCTCCCACACAAGGTGGGCCGTGCGGGCCGTGCGGGCCGTGTTTCCAAGGAGGTACCTGGCTAGTGCCCAGCTGTGTACACTGTACCGTCACTAGCTTGGAATCCAGAGGCCACAAGGCCAAGAGTCTAGGACAGGAAGACGGTCAGCAGGAGGGATGCTGCACCCAACCCCACTTCTGAGAACGCCACCTGAGCACTGCGTGGGCACTGAGCACTGCGGGGGCACTGAGCACCACGGGACACTGAACACTGTTGGGGCACTGAGCACTATGGGGAACTAAGCACTGTGTGGGCACTGAGCACTGCAGGGCATTGAGCACTCTATAGGCACTGAGCACTGTGGGGCACTGAGCTCTGTGTGGGCACTGAGTACTGCGGGGCACTGAGC